GATTTTTATGGTTTTGTTATAAATTAAATTAAACTTAAATACAAATTAATAAAATGTTTTCACATGTTATGAAAGCTAGGAGAAGGAGGTTTAGGATCATTACAGTGCATACAAATGACCAATAAGTAGTGTAATAAAGGGAACGGTATGTTAAAGTCAATATAAAGATTATTTTTACAGTTTTTGTTTTCATGTTATGAAAGCTAGGAGAAGGAGGCTTAGGATCATTACAGTGCATACAAATGACCAATAAGTAGTGTAATAAAGGGAACGGTATGTTAAAGTCAATATAAAGATTATTTTTACAGTTTTTGTTTTATTTTAACAATTCTTAATAGTATGGAAATAACTGGATACTTAAACCTAAAGTATAAATCACATGATCAATAGGTAGTGTAATAAAGGGAATGATATGTTAAAGTGAATGCTAAAAATTATTTGTACATTTTTAAAATTTTCAATAAGTCTTAATATTTTCATAAAAATTTAATCCAAACTTGAAATACCAATCAATTATAAAAAAGGATTTAAACGTTTGATGAAAGTTAGGGAAAGGGAGGGAGAGGTGATCGCTAGACATACTAAATTAATAGGATTAATAGATAAAAGATTTCGGAATTTAAACCAATTAATAGGTAAAAAGGGAACGGCATGTTAAAGCCAATATAAAAATTATTTTTACAGTTTTTGTTTACAAATCATTTCATAATAACAAACGATTTGATATCAAATTACAAAATAATTAATATTTCATCAAAAAATATTATTAATTCACAAATCTTTTGTAATATAAAATTTTATTATTTTTACAGTTTTTGTTTACAAATCATTTCATAATAACAAACGATTTTATATCAAATTACAAAATAATTAATATTTCATCAAAAAATATTATTAATTCACAAATCTTTTGTAATATAAAATTTACTTTAATAAATCAGCAGGGGGAGGTATGTCATTTTGTCACCATTAATTTACATAAAACAAATATAAATCAGACCTAGTGCATTATTAGTTCATTAATATATTTTATTTTGTTTCACATTGCAGATAACTTAGATAAATATTTAATTTTATTTTGTTAAACAAAATTTAATTTCACCTAATTTAGTTAGTTTTATATTTACAAACTTAAATGTTGTTACAATACGTTAGCAATGCTAATTAATTTAATTTTATTTAATTACAATATTTTATGATTAAACAGACAACACAACAAATATTAGACACTTATAACACGATTATAATCATAATAATAATCAACCGGGGGAGTTTGTGATGTAATCATAATATAAATCAGTTAATATAATAATATATTATACAATACTAAATAAATAAGACTTATATAATTTTATATATGAGTGTTAATACAATATAAATACTTATTTAAATATATGTATTTTATGTAATTATATTTCAAGAGACTAAACAAACCACTTTAATTATGTCTTAATTAGCTTCTAGAAACATTTTATATCCAAAAACATTTAACATTGAAGTAGTTTTTACTAATATAGTATCAAGGTACATGTGCGAATATTATTTTTGTTAATTGAAATCTAATTACCTAAATAATACTTAATAAATAATTTACGAATATATTATCATTTAATGAAGTTTTTGTTTAATAATTATAATTAAATATAATAATAACATTTATCATTACCAATGATAAAGTCTAATAATATATTAAACTAAATTCGATAATTATTATGACCTAGTACTCTACATTACTGATGTAATGACATGTCATGACATGTAATTTTTGTTACAGATACTATTTTACGTTGGTTAATAACGGATTTCTTAACTCTTATTTATTTTTAATGGACATAGTTTAACCTAACACATAACTTAATGCTTCTGGATTCCATCAAGTTAAACGTACAATATTGTCAAAGCCGATCATGAATTGTAGTTGTACAATTGCATTTATCTTGATCACATCAATGCTGGTAATAATACCCTACAAATACACGACAATACACTTAATGTTTGGCGATTGGAGTCCATTAGTGGGTATCGGCACTCAATTCAAGGTGTTGGCTATTATCTGGAGCACCCACACCCTATCGCTTGAATACATTTATTACAATAACTACCGGTGCGGTGTTAGACCAACATTTCTACGAGTGTTTGATATGATGTGCGGTTTGGTTACCCCGCATAGAATTGGCGTAACAAATCCAGTCATTATAACCAAATTATTAAAAAGGTCCAGGATTATATTTAAAATATCGGAAACTATAATTAAGACATCGCCAATAATGGCTCTAATATATATTGTACCTTACTTACTATACCTACCCCTTAGTCGAGCCCTAATCTATGGAATACCCAATTGGATATTTGCCAGTTTTGGAACGATGATATATAAACCTCACACAAACACCGTCAAGTTAATGAAAATATAATTGACAATAATAAATTTAAATTTCGATGCAAGTGACTTATCTACAAATGTACTGTACTTTATATGATCATTAGTGCAAATAATGCAAATAATTCACAAATTCGTTGATATTTATAATGAGATTAATGACTATAATACGAGTTTTTGGAGTAAATATCTGTTGAGTGTATGGACTCTAATGGGGTTTTGCATAACTATTGTGTTATATATTGTATTGTTTGCTGAGNATGGACTCTAATGGGGTTTTGCATAACTATTGTGTTATATATTGTATTGTTTGCTGAGTTTAATGTGATTACACGCGTTGTGTTTGCATATATACTCGCGTCCATATTAACCATGTTTATAGTGATTATATTTACAGCATCGTATGTTAATTACAATTCATATAAATCTTATAAATTATTAAATGTAAATCAAATACAATTACAGTATTGTTAGCGTACTGTTAAAATTAAATAAAATTCTTTTATACAAAATTTTAAGCTTTTTAAAAATTATGCCAGGTGCTATGACATCACTCAAACTTGATTTATTTGAGCCAGATTAATTAAATGAAAATGATTTATACCAACAATATGGTTTTACCTTATACATATTTACTCTGAGAGACAACTTGATTTGAGCATAGGTAGGTTTTGTAAAATATGGATAATTGTTAAAACAAACTACCATGCACATAAAAAACATGAAATATGAAATACATCAAAAATTAATTTATCCAAATAACCTTGTTTACAGCTCTCCGACACTGTTATTATAGCGTATATTATCTCTGAATCAATAAATCAATTTAAAATCATAAAAGTCCAAAAAATGATAAGTTAGGCAAAAGTTAGGGTAAGTGTTAGGTCTCATCCGATATGTCAACCAATAGATAGTTTTTAAAGGGAACGGTATGTTAAAGTGGTATAAAAATATTAAAATTACAGCTATATATTTTTGTAATACACATTAAAACTAAACTATAAGTACAAACCAGTTATAAAAATGTTTTAACAATTTGTGAAAGTCAGGGAAAAGGGGATAGAGGGGGGAGGGGTTATCGGTAAACATAAATAAGAATATAAAAGTACAGTTACACTATAATAGCGGTATATATAGATAATTTTAAAGTCAAACCCAACAGTCGGTGCCAATAAAGAATGTAATAGAGGGAACGGTATGTTAACGTGATCTCAAAAATTATTTTTACAGCTTTTGTTTTATTTTATTTTATTTTATAATGTCTTATATAATATAATCGCAATTCATAACAACTATACATAACATACAAATCAAACACTTAATTAAAGTTGAGAAAAAGGTTATCTCATATGAATGGTCACTATTTCAAAATTGTCATAAAGGGAACGGTATGTTAAATCGAGTCATAAGATTAAAATTACCGTTTATTTGCGTAAAGAAGGGAACGGTATGTGAATGTGGTTTAAATAATTATTTTTACAGTTTGTTGTAATAAATTAAACTAAACTTAATACAAATCAAATTCATTACGTGTTTAACATTTGATGAAAAGTTAGGGGTTAGGGAGGGCTGGAGGGACTCGGAGGTCAACTGCGAACTATTGTTTCGGCAATTAAGAGTTTGATTTAAAGGGAACGGTATGTATAAGTGATTTTGAATATTAAATTTACAGTTTGTTTGACAAAAGTCTTAATAGTTTCGTAACAAATGAAAACTGAATTCATATGCAAATCAATTCAAAACAATTAAACACTTAATGAAAGTACGGTTTAGGGAGGTCTGGTGTTTAGATACTGTTGGAAAGGGAGGGCTAGGAGGTGGTGGTGAGGGCTATAAAATTGTTGGTCACCACCACCGCAGTCGTCATTCCAGTCATACAAGTCAACCCATACTATACCCGCTTATAGGAGGGGACAGGGATTTCAATACAAATTAAATGATTTATGAAAAACGATTTAATGGTTTATAATTCAAAAAAGTTTCAAATATTTTATTTCTTACTTCAAGTAATCGTCAAAATAATTAATAATTAAATATTTTTAATACAAAAAAGTTTTTGTTCACAATTAATAGACACAAAAGTTTTTGAGTGATTTATATTTAATATGGAAAGTCTTTTTTGCTTGTTAAATATATTTTATATATAAATATAATCATCTGTTTTTTATTTATACACAATTATATTGTAAGTTTGTAATAATAATTATAAATTATATAATAACTACTTATATAATAAAAACTAATAATTAATCAATGATTTAATAAACATGTTTTAATATAATATATCAAATAAACAATTAAAGTATTTTTAATTACAAACAAATCAAAGTTTTTCATTATTATTATTATTATTATTAAATAACATTTTTTTGGTATTTTTATTCAAATTTGATTTAATTATAGAAACCTTTTTGTCGGAGAGTTTTGTATAACAAAAAACTTTTTCACATTTTTTATACAATTTATTCATTTTATTATTAAACAAAAAAATTATTATCCATTTTATTAATCATTCATTTGATAATATATTTCAATAATAATTAAATCAATTTAAACATTCATTCATTTTATAATCAATTAATAAAAAAATGTTTTTTTACAACAAAATTTTTGTTCAATTAAAACAAAACTTATTATTAATTCACAAATCTCTCTGAAATTTAAAAAACAAATAGTTTTCGAGATTAAAAAAAACTCTCATTTAATGATAATTAATACAAAAAAAACAGAAAAAACTTTTATTTCAATTCAATATCAATAATAATAATCAATAATAGTCTCAATAATAATATAATTAAAAAAATTTCTATCTCTCAATGTGTGGTGTATTGTGTGGTAAACATAATGAGTGTATGTATTGTCTCTCATGTCATCGTATATATATCCGTATAGACATAGGCACTGACGTATGGGGACAGTCCTCTTTACAAACACACCTACCGGTGCTCATCCCCAGCCGTTGTCGTCGCTGTTTGGCATCGATTCGTCGCTAAATTGCTGTGAATTTTGATTATTATTATTATTATTATTTGTAATCGTATTATGGGTTTCGAAATGCAGTCTATTATTAGCTAAATGTGTCTGTAATTGGTTGGCGAATGGGTTCACGTGTACGGCCGGCCCGTTCAGCATACCGGCGCCCACGGGCAGTGAGGCGGCGCCCAACTCGTTGAACCCACTCAGCTGTTGCGTGACCGCCAGTAGGCCTCCCTCTGACACCGTTATTATAACCCATATTATCTCTGCAATGGTAGAAAACATTAATTAAAATCGCATACAAGTCCCAAAAATGATAAGTTTGGCAAAAGTTAGAGTTAGTTAGGGTTTGTAGACGTATCGGTATCCGATAGTGTTTTATAAAGGGAACGGTATGTTAAAGTGGTCTAAACAGATTAATATTACAGCTTTTTTAGTCTAATTTTTATATTGTAGAAATATTAAGTATAAAACCTAAACTTGAAATAAAAATTAATTATAAAAATGTTTTAACGTTATATGAAAGTCAGGAAAAGTGAGGGGTAGAGGGGGGGTATCGATAAATATAAATAATATAAGAATACTGTATAATAGGTGCTCCACGGGTTAGTTGTTTCCAATGAAGATTGTAATAGGGGGAACGGTATGTTAAAGTCATCTCAAAAATTATTTTTACAGTTTGTGTTTTATATATTATAGCAATTTACAATAACTATACTTAACATAGAAATCAATTATTAAAAATCTAACGTTTTATCAGAAGTTTATCTCATTTGAATGGTCACTAGAAATTGTCATAAAGGGAACGGTATCTTAAAGTCCACTTTAAAGATTAATATTACAGTTTATTTGTTATGTTTTTAAATATTATCGAAATAACTAAATACTTAAACTTAAAGTATAAATCAATTCATGAAAATGATTAAAACTATATGAAAGTTAGGGATAGGGAGGGCTAGCAGGAGGGAGGGGTTGGTAACCGATAGACATGCAAAAGAGTGTTCCGATATTCCCAATAAATCTTGTAATAAAGGGATCGGTATGTCAAAGTAGTTTTTAAACTATTTCTACAGTTTTTGTTCGTACAATAAATACTAATATTTTCGTAATTAATTAAATATAAACTAAACTTTAAATACAAATTAATAAAAAGTTTTCATATGTTATGGAAGCTAGGAAAAGGAGAGGTTGGCTATATGTATGACCAATAAGTCGAGTAATAAAGGGAACGGTATGTTAAAGTCAATATAAAAATTATTTTTACAGTTTTTGTTTTACGATAAGTCTTAAGATTTTCGTACAAAATATAATATAAACTTAAAATATAAATCAATTACAAAAAATATTTAAACATTTGATGAAAGTTAGGGTAAGGGAGGGCTAAAGGGAAGGGTAGGTCAACGATAAACACACACAATATTGAAAATAAAATATAGCAAAACATTAGACCACAAAAAACATATGACTACTACTTATAGAGCTCGTAATAAATCACAAAAAATCATGGATTAAGGGGTAAGGGATGTCGATAGAGATCTGCGGGTGCGGGCTATACGCCTGTCCCCCTCGCATACGTACCTCCAAAGAACTGTCCGGTGGGTGTACTCATACGCCACTGACCCGTATATATACCGGACTTCTGGGGACTAATCATATCGACGGCGATGTCGGTGTAGTCTCCCGGCGCCAGGGGATCGACTAATACCCTCTCGTTGTGACACATTTGGTCGCCGTCTGTGAAACGCAGGCAACAGCCTGTAGGCCACGGCTCCTCGCCTACCGGTGCCCAACAAAACACACAAAACATAATTAAAACATTGATTTATAAAACTTTTAAAAATCAGTTTCTATTTTCAATACTAAATAAACAAAATTATAAACACTTTTAGGTATCACTGAAAGCTATGGGACTGGTAGTAAAAAACTTATTGACTGGTAGTATTAGTGACCACCCTGGTCATAGTAAACTAGATAATAACTAGTAAATGTTTATAAGCTGTTGAGTTAGTGTTACGACAACATCATTAGCGCCTACATTCAGACAGTAAGACCGGTAATATCATAGCATTCATAAGGCTATAGTTCTCATCATTATGTGACCGCTAATCCCCTGACATACCTGTCCACCAGACAGAGCACAGGTATGATACCTATGGCACGGATACGTACCTGAGTTGGCGATTCTCCAGGTCTTTGTGAATTTGGCATTAGGGGGCACTTCCTCGCCCTCACCGATCGTCACATCGTTGACCAGTTTCATGGACGGCAACCGCAGCGCCGGCTGTTCGTAGTCGAAGTAGGAACAGATGGCCGCCTGAAGGTTCCTGAGGTGTCAGCACCGGTAGCATAAAAAATAAGGAATTAATATACAATACATTATGAGTAAAACACATACCAATAAAGTTGGTATAAGAGGGAACGGTATGTAAAAGCGGTTTAAATAATGATTTTTAGTTTTTTTTTGTTATAAAATAAACTAAACTTAAATACAAATCAAATTCAATATGTGTTTAACATTTGATGAAAAGTTAGGGTTTAGGGAGGGCTGGAGGGGTCAATATTGTCTAATTTGAAGGAAACGGTAGGTTTAAGTCACTCACTATCCTATGGACAGCATCGGTAGCAAAAATTTGTAAATTAAGTTACTTAACAGGAATAAGGACAGGGCCACTTATGTATGCGTTAAAGGGAACGGTATGTTAAAGTGGTTTTGAATATTAAGTGTACAGTTTGTTTGACATAAGTCTTAATAGTTTCGTAACAAATGAAAACTGAATTCATATGCAAATCAATTCAAAACAATTAAACAGTTAATGAAAGTACGGTTTAGGGAGGTCTGGTGTTTAGGTAGTGTTGGAAAGGGAGGGGAGGCATAGGAGGTGGTGGTGAGGGATATAAAACATACAAAACTATTAAAAACTAAATATTAAATCACAAAAACAAATGACTACTCATTATACACATAAGGTCTGACACATAAGGACACCTCATAGGTTAGGGCAAAGGTCACGGAAAGGGGTGACCAATCTTAATAGAGGTCATGGAGGTCAACGTTTAGCGCTATTAAAGTGTAGGCGCTGTTAATCCTTACAATTAAAACACACAAAACCTCTCATAAACTACACATAAATCGTAACCAAAAACCCATAAAACAGTGAATCAATGACACAGAGGGTCAGTCACTCGGACACACACACGCAGTGGACAGGTATACCGCGTGGAGTGGGAGGTAAGGGGACAGTCGTGTCGTACCAGTTATTCATGTCCAGCCAGAAGTGGGCCGAGTCGTCGTTCACGTGTTCACCCAGTAATCGCTTCAACTGGTCGACCAACACATCCCTGTCCGTCGTATTCATACACGAAAACCGCTGCAATAGCTCAGCCGTGAGGTCAGGGGGTCCGCCACCAGACCCGTGAGGCGGTGGTGGGGGCTGTTGTTGTTGGTCACCACCACCGCAGTCATTATTCGTGTCGACATCCATGTCCCCTATCATTGAGTAAACAAAATACTTGTCATTAGAAACACGTGTCCGCGCGAGTCGGTCAGGCTTTTCACCACAACTAATGCTATACTAGAGGGTAGGCGTGGGCTATAGGGGGGTCAGTGAGCACCGGGAGGTGTTTGAGGGGACGGTTAGGTTGAGGTACACCTCTATCGACACAAATGTCAACAAATGTACGTCAGTTTTGGCGTGAATTACGAGTGTTTAAGAGTGGAGTTGCGGTCAAAAGCCTTTTGCCGTCGAAATCAGTGCTCAAAACAAATGTCAAAAAATTTAATTACAATTAAAAGTCCACTAAATGTGCGGCCGTTTAGGGATGACCTAAAAAATTGGGCATCAAATGAGTGGTGAGTATATCAGTGATATCACATGTCTTAAGATGGCATACGACTAGTGGTTACTCACGAGGCGATGGCATAGATCGCGAGATTAGATACTGAGTGTCGAGATAAGGGATTACCTTGCTAATTATGTAATTACAGTTAATTATTAAATGGTTTTTCGCCACAAGTAATAAATGTCACCAAAAAAACAATATTTGATCACATTTTGGGCCACAAACGCACTGTATGTCCAAAGTATAGTGACCCACACTCGTACAAGTACCCAGGTCACACACTGGTCACTCACTGATAGCTTAATTAATGGCTTTAATTATTAAATGAGATTTAATTGCAATTCATTTACAATAATAACAGTATTTATGTGTTTATATAGCGATAAGCAATTGCTGTGTAATTGCAACGTTTCGCAGACATCTGTACATTACGTACGTTCGCAGCGCATGACTGTACAGCGAGTGCCAGTTAGTCAGTCAACGCCGCGTATACCGCGCACGCAGTGCACCACTAATGTTGTACGGCGTTAGACGTATAGTACGTCCCGTAATGAGTGGTCATAAAGTGGTAAATAAGTTATTAAACGCGATTGTAGCAAGGTTAATAATTAATACTACATTATGGACACTGAATATTAACCATGGTTATTAGTGTACGCTATATGTAGGGTATATTGTATTGCAAACGAAATGTTTTCAACCCTAACTGAACCTAAAATAGGAGTGTTTGAAGCGCTTTGAATAACGTTATGAAAATTATTTTCAAAATTAACCTTGATTATCATGTAATCTGGCTACTATTAATTACCACCATTATGATTAGAATTACATGGTTACTTTAAAACAACATATAATGATGATCTAGCATATTATAACCCATAATGTAGGTGAGAAACATTAAATTGTAGCTAGCATATTTTACATTCTTTAGTGCATAGGGTTGGGTATTCCAGTGGACGTTATTTGTGGTAAAAGTTGTTTACATTTTTATTTGGGAATAAACGACAAGTCATTGTACAGCAGATTCTGAGACGCTGTGTGGACACTGTAGACACCTATTGACTGCATTGCAAACTATGATCAGAATAAACTTATCCCTATATTCTGGGTTTAAATTATGAAATTAACATGATAATTGGCTAACTAATATGAATATATTCATTTATTCTAGTGATTTTGTAAAATTATAGTAATTTTGAAAATATTTAACTTTTTAATGTTGATGTGCCGCAGCCAATATAAAATATAGCAACTAGTTAATGTTTTATATATAAAACTTTGGCATAGTTTACAGTTTTTAGATATTATAATTCTGTGTGAAAACATTTTATATCCCTACTCATTTATTTAATTATAAATTTTTAAGAATGATAAGTTTTATACCGCATATAAATATTTTACATTATTTATATTTTTATATCAATTAATAAATAAAATTAAAATTAATAAATTGATTAAAAATAAAGTAATTACTAAAATAAATTATAAAATTAACAGTGTTATAATAAATAATTAGTTTATTAAAAGTAATTAACAATTATACACATAAATATTATTTTATAAATATTATAAGCGACTATATTTGTACCAAGTTAATTTAATTAAATAAAATTCTAATTTAGTATCTAAAACAAGCGTATATTTTTGAAAACTATCAATTTATGTTTATACTCTAAATAAATTTTACAAAGTCCCTGGTACTTTTATTACACCATGTTCATTTAATTATTTAATCCTAATTAATACCCTCCCCCTCTATATTAGGACTTTAGCCTTAAATAATCAATACTTTTTATAGTACTTTTGGTGCACACCTAATCGCATGTAGTTTTTGAACTAAAAAATTATCTAGGTCTTAGTAACCACTTAAAAGGAATTAATTATAAATTGTTTCCGTACATTCCTTACAAAACTATTTCTTATTATTTTTATTTTTCAATACATTTATTATTATTATTTTATTTATAAAACTATTTCAAACACTGAATAATTACTATGTATGGCTAACGTGCCATTTACCACATAAGACCTTGCTTATCACATAATATGCCACATTTTATTTAATATTTATTTATTCATGCATTTACAATCCCTAATAAACTAATCACGCTAATTTTATGTCAATACTGAAATAAATTGTTACATAGCTTATCATTTTATTGTTGGCACACTAATTAATATAACTTACTTATAAAAATTTATATATCATATTTAATTTTAGTAATCATCTAACAGCTATTAAATTTAATTATGCTATTATACACTTAATAATTAAACAATAAAATCAGCCTGACACTTTTCTCACATAACAATGCATGTGAGCATTACATGAAGTGACTCACAAATGTTGTAAATCCTGGAAAAAATCAAACGTCTATTTGTTTGAACACAAAAAGCATTGATAAATGGATTACTCATTCAAAGCCATTATCGCAAATAATGTAATACTCGCTATTTGTTTGCACTGGTGGCAATGACCAGGGTGTATTCAGCTTATCAATTATTTGCAACTAGAAATTGTATATAAATCATGAATGTAAATGATTTGGTGAAATACTTGTCTAGACAACCATATTATTATAATTTCACAAAAACTGTAAAGTTTATTTATTGCTATGTTAAGTGTAATTGAGATTATTAATAATGTTTTAAATTGGCCTGATTGAAACCATTGAAACCATAAAATATTTTTTATTTAGCAAGGTTTAGTAAACTTATTAAACTAACACAACATAAAAAATTAATTATATTTTTTAATTAAAAATTATTTCACTTATATCCCCTTTTAAACTTAAAATGTACTGGTACTTTTATGTTAAAGTCACATAAAACACATACTTTAATGTAATCCTAGCATACAATACACCGCCTAATCACGGTTACCATAACCCTGATAACGTAAAGATATATTTCTAAATCAGGTAATGTATATAAATTACTATAATATAGAAATGCAATAAAAAAAGTTACCCTTATCAAATGAGAGTAAACCCATAATGTATAAATACATACTTTCTATTTCTAATGGCAATCGTTCACATACAATACCTATTGTATAATGAACAAGGCACTTGTTTATATTACTATGATAACACATAAATTTCTATTTAACAATATAAAATAGTTTGCATATGATTAATAAATATTTTAAAATATATTACTAATTAAAATAAAATAATTTTCATATTATATCATTTTAATTAAATCATTATAAGTAAGCTATAGTGTACAGCCATATCTAAGCTAAAGGGAAGGGTAGATAACCATCCGGTATGTGAGTACATTGTGCAACACCTATCAAATATAAAAAAGGCTATATTTATATATAAAAATGCTATTGCACGTAAACCAACCAGCACACATTATATTATATTAGTGATTTCAATATATTGCCGGCACCTATACACCCCGTGACTTACATATTGATATAAATTATATCTCAACACTACCTGTGCGCTCATAAGTATGTGCTAAAAGTACTGATTCAGTACCAAATGCCTAATGTATCAAATTACTAATATATTTGCAAAATTTAAATAAATATTTTTGCACTAATATAATATATTTTGTATTATTTTTCATTATATATCTGTGCTTTAAGTGCCACACATTTCATACACATATTGTCACACAATTACCGTAACTTTTGGTTTTATGTGTGTTTTAATTGTACAGTACATTAATTTTAATTGTATATTAATGTATGAACAGTATTTTTAAATATACACATGTGTGTGTATGTGAATTATTTATTTAAATTATAATTTGTATTTTTATTTTTACAAAACTTCATCTTAAGGTATTTATTATTATTAATTATTTATGAATGTTAAGTTTAGTTTTTAATTTTTAGTTTATTTATTGATTTCATATAATATGATAATGTAATTATATGTTCAATATTAGATACCCATAGTTTGTATATTATTAAGCAATCAATAGGTGCAGTGTTTGCCTGGTAACCATTAATAAACAATTTAGTTTTTATTTTATTTTAGTGAGTGACGAGCAAGTGCAAATATAAATCAATTTAAAAAATTAAATACAATTCTCTATAATGTTTTCATAAATTAATTAATTTATAAACATTTATAAATAAGGTCATATAAAATGTAAATATAATTGAAACGATTTTTAAATCCATGTTACTAGTTAAATTAAAATTTTAATAACAGGTATGTAGTTTTGTAATAACAATATAATATAATAAAAATTTAAAATAAAAATATAATAAATTCACAAAACTTGACAAACCAAAAATTAATATTTAAATAAATTATTAATAATATATTAATTTAAAAATTATATAACAGTCTATCAAATGGTTGCCTCACGTACTGAAACCGAGAGTTTCATTATAAATAATAATAACAATAATAATATTCTGATCAAGAACAATTATACCAAAAATGATATTGAGCCACTCAAGTACAAACGTCCAGCAAAAATTATCCCGCACAAGTTTGAAATAGCCTGGTACTACGTGTTCTACCTGGCCACCATACATTCAATCGCTGTGTACGCAATATATCTACATTTGAGCAAGAACATTGGTGGCTGGCACGAGTTAGGTCTTAATGTATACTATATAACAGCTAATATATTTTGCATGTTTGGCATAATTGCCGGTAAGACTAATAAATAAATCTTTATTAATTAGATAGTTTAATATCTGTGTAGTATATTTATACTTTAGATAATAACTGATTAAAGCTGTATTATAAAATTTTAATATTGTTAAACAGTTATAGACTATAACTTATAGAAAATGAGATCATTAATATAATGGTTTAAAAATGAATTTTAAATCTGACGTTTAAATGGATTTAATTTTTAAAGTTTTTTTTATAAATTTTTTATCAGTTTAGCATTAAAACTGTAATTGCAAATTAATTAGACATTTAATTTAAACATTAATTTACTCGCATAACTTAATTGGACTAGGTCTCTGTACTCATAAATATATTATTTACGAATTATTTTTGTTAAAATATATACCATTATGTTCAGGAATTGCCAATATTTTTAATTAACAATAATTTACAAAAGATTAAAAAATAAATATCTATTAATTTTATTATATATTTTAAAATGTGTCCAGGGGCACATAGACTTTGGTCGCACCGGGCGTACAAAGCCAAGTGGCCGTTGCGGCTAATCCTGGGGGCCCTCCAAACGGCGACCATTCAGGAGGACATATACGAGTGGTCACTGAAACACCGCTTACACCACAAGTTCTCCGACACCGATGGCGACCCCACTAACGTTTCCCGGGGTTTCCTATGGGCTCACATCGGGTGGCTATTCTTCAAACGCCACCCGACATACCTGTCCAAAGTGCCCACCATTGACACCACGGACCTCATGGCCGACCCTATTGTAAAGTACCAACGTAAATTTTATACCTTGTGGGTGGTGCTGATCAGGGGTACTATGTTTACGGGAATCCCATCGTATTTGTTTCCCGATCAAGGAGTGGGATACCTGTTAGCAATGAATGTGCTGTTTTATGTGATACTATTGCACTATACCTGGCTGGTTAACTCCGTGGCCCATATGTTTGGATACCGGCCCTACGATCAGTCTATTGAGCCCACGGATAATACTGTGCTCGTGTACCTGGCTATGGGTTAGTCATAAAATTGTATTTAAGACTTTAATTTACATAATCATATAATATTCAATACAATTTAGACTGTGATTTATAATATTTTATAGTTTATATTTAATGGTAAGGTGTATGTACCATAAATTAAATTCAATAATATCACAGTCACAAGTTAGTAATATTTTGCTAATTTATATAAAAGTATCATGAATATCAATTCCAAAATAGTAATAATTCAAACAGTAATTTAGTAGTAAATATGTAATTAATTATTTACTTGATAAATTAATTTATTATTGGTTCGTAAAGTAAGCGCACTATTAAATGTTTTTGTAAAATATATTTTATAGAAATAATTATTAATTAAGTAAACTCTATAATTTACTTATTATAATTCTAAAATTTAAATATATATTTATTATACTCTACATTACCTAATTAATTTATTTTGAATTTTTAAATAAAATTCAAAAAAATAAGCTTTCTAAAAATATTGGGTACTTTTAAGATTATTCAAATAGGTTTGATATAAAAATACATTAAAAATATATTACATATTATTTATAACCATAACTTATAATCAATAGATAAAATTTAATAATTGTGTTGTAATTTATATAAAAAAGAAACTAGAATATTTTTATGAATTAATCATTTAAAACATATTAAATGATACTGTAATTTAGGTTTAAATTCAACATAAATTAATAGGTTTAACCAGTTTTTTATTTAATTGTTCAAAACCCCAACCCAATTAACTTACTTAACTTGAGTAATTATATATTTTTTAAATTCATTTGAAAATATTATATGAAATAGGTGAACATTTTTTGTTGTAATATTAATACAGATTTTTTATATTTTAAACTGTATACTCGTATTTAACTAAAAAATAATTTATAAAATTATATTAAAAATTATATTGTTGAATTGACAACTGAATGCCTCTAAATTATAATTTTATCTATTGACCAATTAGAAATTACTATTTAGTATTTTAAATATTTAAAGTTTATTTTAAAGTATTTTAAGTAACTATTTTAAATTTCAAAATTAAATTTATTTATTAATAAATTTGTAAATAACCTGCATTTACTTATATTAGCACGATTTGAATCAATAATTAAAAATATTCTGAATACTCAAATATTATTAAAAAAAGTATACCAAAATGCTCAGGGATAATGAAATTTTTATATCCGAAATAGGAAATATCCATCAGTTCACAACCCTGGTTATAATTAGTATGCAATAGCAAGGATATGTATAAAAAGTGTGCAAAAATGCATGATTCCTAGCAGTGCTGTAATTTTTATATCAAACTGTAATTTAACCTAGAATTATTTAAATATTTATTAGTTTTAAAAATAACTTTAAATTCTTGGCAATTATGTTAAGAAAAGTTTATATTAAAAATTGTTTTACAATTTATTTCTTAATTGAATAAAATTAAAAATATTTTCTGCCATCCAGGGGGCGGTTATCACAACTATCACCACACCTTCCCTCACGACTACTCCGGGTCTGAGTACGGATGGGAACAGAACTTCAATCCGACGACTCTTTTCATCGATATGTTCGCCAAAATCGGTTGGGCTTACGATCGCAGGAAAGTCTGCCCACAAGTCATACAAATGCGGACCAAACGCACGGGTGATGCCAACCAATTGAGACGCAACGCACGTATGGCCGTCGATGTCATACTCGGCCTAATCATACTCTACTGGCCCCTACCTGTCATCTATGGCATCCGATACCTAATTCATTAGCACCCGACACAGTTTGAGATGAATGTGTTTTTTTAAGTAATTTATTAATTCATAAAAGTTTTATTGTCTAATCAGTTACGATAATATCAGTTAAGGTTTTACTGTCTGTTTTGTTTATAATCATTAAATTCATTATAATTTTTCTATAAATTTAAATTGTTTTTTGAACATTCTATACATTTATTCAAAATTCAAAATTTATTCTATCAAATAAAATTATTATCAAAATATGAAGTTTATTAGAAGTTTCTTAAATTGCATAATATATTGAATTATTGTGGTTTGAGAAATGTAAAATTATTGATTAATAAAAATCATTTAATCATTTATATAACAGTAAAACGAGTATAATTTTACAAATTACTAAATTTAAACATGTTAATTTGAACTGTAATTTAGTTTTAAATTTAAGGAAACTTAATTAGTTTAACTAGTTTGTTTATCTAATCGGACGTCACGCAAATTCCCGATTCAAAATTATAATTTTAACAATTTTAACAAATTTAGCAATTAGAACTATTTATTTGGATTTTGTTATGTTTACGGGAATCCCGTGTTATTTGTTCCCCGATCAGGGAGTGGGATACCAGTTGGCCATGAATGTACTGTTTTATGTGATACTATTTCACTATACCTGGCTGGTTGACTCCGTGGTTTTTGGTTAAATTAATATTGATAGTAACTATTAAAAGTAATATTAATACATTAATCAGTAATTTAATTGTAAATATTTATTTAATTAATTAGTTGATGTAATTTATTTATATTTGGCCTGATGGAGCTAAAATCGTTATATGTATTTGTAAATTATATTAAAGTTATTTTATTCTATTTACATACATTATTACAACTATCTATATCAGCGAGTTCCATGTATTACAAATTATTACAACTAGTGATGTATAGACTAAAGAAAGTAAATGAGTAATGAAAGCATTTTCAACGCTAGTTATTTTTTTAATGATAAACAATCGTAAATATAAGAGTAATACATTTTAACATATATTATATCAATAAAATCCGATAAATTTATTAATCATTGATTCATTAATATAAAATTAGTACACTATCAAGATTATAAAATATTTATTACTACTAAGTTTATAATAAAAGCAAATAACTAATGCTGTGAAACATTATAAGTTTATCAAGCTCATACATCCCTATTTTTAAGAGATTTGAATATTTGGAACTCAATGATCTATATGCACAATTATGACTATTTTTGGTGTGTATTTAATAATTACTAATATTTTAACAAGAGTTTATTTTAGCATTTAATTTTAATAATGTATTTTTGGAATATTTGCCGGTTAGACTATTAAATAAGTATATATAAGCTAGATAGTTACATAATATATTACACGTTACAATTTATTAAAACTGTAATTTAATTAATATTTTAAATGTTGAAATTTGTGTTTAATTATGTATTCAATAATGGTAGAAAACTGTTTAACCAATTAATTCATGTTATTTTATTATTTTTCAAATTATTTCACCAGTGGAATTAATCTTAAAATAAAATTAATAAATGAAGAAAATATTGTTAAAACATTTTGGGATTTGTAACACATTGAAATTGCATTAGAAAATAATGATCAATATTATTTAATTATTCAAAAATTCAATTTACAATATAAGTTGTACAGCACAAATTTGAGATCACCTGGTTCTACATGATCTACCTGTCTATCATGCATTCAATCGCAATGAACACACTGTATCTATATTTAAGCAAGGACATTGTTGGCTACCTCAAGTTAGCACCGTCTTATTGAATACTATGTAACCGCTAATATATAAGAGGAATCCAAAATAACATCATAGGGTTTTGGGTCGCATTTCAATGTTTCTTGCGATAAATCAATTTTGTAAAAAGGATTTTAAATTTTCATTTAATTGTGTTCTTTTGACATACTAGCCACCCTTGTGACTCAAGTGTTTCAATAAATATTTTGGACCAAAGCAAATGTCATAGTCACCAGTTACAGCATAGTATCAGGGTAAAATCTAAAATATACATATTAATGCCGAAGGTATAAGCTTTCTTATAAACCATAAACCACCTTGCTACGATTTCTAGTTTTTAGTCAGTAATCTTTTGAAAATCAAGAATCTCTATGGAAATATCAATAGAGAAATTTTCAATTAATAATTACTATTAATAAAATGGTAGCCAGGTAAAAGTGTACCATAGCTCAAAGAGAATTTAATTATCTTTCAAACGGTGTATCATTCGCTAAGGTCGGAATTGTATTTCTTGATTTATTGTTAAATATGTTAAATTTATGTAAATATCGAATTATGCCATTGAATCCATTTATGTAAATACGTTTATGTTTCTATGTATCCATTTATGTTCATTCAACACGTTTCCATAACCTGACGGCCATATTCGTAGGCCAGATCTCATCGTCTTCGTAAAACTTCAAACCCAATAAATGTTTACAGCTTCGCACAATAAAAGCATCATCACACCATTCTCCATCTAAAGTTGTCGTACTCGGTAAAGGTTCTTCTAGTGATTCATGGCGCATATTTTTCAATATTGAGGCTATATTCGTGAATCCTGATGAAGCAGGTTGCTCTTCTCCAAATTTTAAAGAATCGCCACCCTCGGCTCTAAAAAACAATCCGGCATAATCTGATATAAGATGCCACACTGAATTGGGCCACATTTGCATAGGCGATTTCTCTTTAGGCAGTTGCGTGTATATGAATCCAATTGGCAAAGGGCATTTTTCGATCTCCATAACTTTATTTTGCAATTGGTGCACAGTCCAATTACTTGCTAACGTATTGCTAGTTCGGTTATCATTGTGATGGTAATCTTCAATAAAAACTTTACCATGTTTTAGGCAGCTAATTTGCGTAGTTTGTATTAACTTTTCGAACATCGTAAAATTGGTCGCATCTAAAATCGTGTAGTCAGCTGCTGCAAAAATTGCCAAATTTCCAAAATTTTCTTTATCATCAAGCATATTTCTAAACATGTTAATTGTCATCAATGTGCTTTTTGTGTTATCGTAGTTATAGAACAGTATATAAATATCATTGCCCATATGCTTCCATTGAAATTGTTGTAAACTAGAATGTTTATTTATCAAGGAGACATTCAATTCTAGCAAAGACTGTATGAAAATAACTTCGTTTTTCAATTTGCCGGCTCCTTTTAGCAGTAACGGAAAATTTTCTGGGGCAAACTGATCACTGATTGAATTTTGAAAGACTTCGTTTAGTTTATTAACTGGCTCATCTCCGGATCTAACTCGCTCAAGACATTCACTTAAATTTTGTCTCACTCTAGCTTCGTATGAATTATAATTATCATATAACTCTTTAACATTTTTAATTTTGTCTTTATCAAGGTAGGCCTCCATAGCAATAACATCGTTATGAAATTTTAAAATTTCTTCACCATTAGAATTTATATTATCAAATAATGTGACAAATCTTTTAATAGTCTCCTCATCAATACGTTTAGCTATTATTTCCTTATTTGTTTTGCAGTCCCACATTTGTCTTAGCTGGTTAATCGAGATAAGTGTGTAACTAATAGGGTTGCCTTTACCACCATTGGATTTCTTAATAAGTGTCGGGGCCAATTTAATAATCCGTAAGGCTTCTTCTAATGTATGAGCAGTTTCATCAGGCAGAATATCGCCAAATAATTCGAATGAAAATTTATTTAATTTAATATCATTAACTCTATTACTATCTAGCTCACAATTGCCATCAATTTCCAGCAATTCCATAAGCTTTTTGCACACAGCTTGTAAACTACCTTTAACATTTTTGTCATCAGTTTCTATTGTGCTAGTTTCTTCTAGCGATATAAGGACATTACCGCCCCATTGAATGCCAATCACAATATGGGTTGCATTTATTCGCTCGAAGGTATTCCAATTGATCAAAGATTTCACCTTGGAATAATTCATCATAATATTGTCATAATATGTTTTGACAGAATTAAATAGAGAGACTTTGACGCCGTGGTTGCTACTTTTTTTACTCTTAAAATATTTAGCATGGCCACCCAAGTTTATTAAGTCGGTTAATATGCTCAATTTTAATTCACCGGTTACGTTGAGTTTATTAAATTTCTCTTTGAACGTGTCGTCCATGATGAATTTGATTCCGCCTCCAGGTGTCTCTGTTGAAATAATTAAAGTAGTATCTGGTTGTTCATTAAACACTGATAGTCCCAAGAATTTTTCATTTCGTGCATCATAAAATTCTCCAATGATTGCCACCCTTCCCAACGCCAATATTTCATTATTCACGTCGGAATTCATAGTACCATATGATAGCCTTTCTGTAAGACTAGGCTATATCTAAATACAAATATATGAAGAATATTATGAGTTATTTTATAAACTATAGGTCAATTAAATAAGGTTGTCATAAAATTTTTTATATATTTGTATTTAGAGATAGCCTAGTTTTACAGAAAACATCATATCTATAAAATGTTATAAAATACAAATATATAGTTAAGCGATTATAGGGGAAGGATGGGGGAGGAGGTAGGGAAGGGGAGTGATGAGGAAAGCAGATGTGCGGCAATGATAGGAAAATTTGAATTTTATCGATAAAATAGTTTTAACTAGAATGTTATAAATTATAGACATTTATCTGTAATCAATAAAAATTATATGCTATCACAATTAAGATTGTATCGTGTACTAACTTTATGAAATAACACTGGTGAGAATAAGTTGATAGGGCGATAAGGGGAGGCAAAGTGGGTTAACTCTGTAATAGAAGTTTAATGTAAGGTTGAAAACATGTCTCATAAAAATCATATACAGTATAAAAGTTACTTCAATGAGTAAATAATAATTAAAACAGAGTTGAAAATAAATTATCTTTTTTACTATATATTCTAAATTAATTTGAATATAAATTTTTAAAATTTAATAATACTTACAAAATGATACGTACGTGCAGTATAAAATTGAAGTAAAATTAAAACCAAAATTATTAATATCACTAATTTATCATAAATGAACAAAACAATTAATGTTTTTCATAATATATTTTATTGTTATTACATATTGACTGTATGTAACTATGTGACTGTATGATACTGT